ATATATATATATATACATACATATATATACACATACATATATATACACATACATATATATATACACATACATATATATACACATACATATATATACACATACATATATATACACATACATATATATACACATACATACATACATACATATACACTGTATATATATATAATGTAAAATAAATCAAAACTCTAGGACAAGTTCTCTCTCCACACGCACGCACTTCGGACATGCAAGTAAAGGGTTGCATATGCTTAACAAACATTCCGGCCATGGTTAAGCTTTAAAAAATGATTCTACTTTGTAACTAGCTCCATTAGGGATTGTGACTCGCATATCCCACATGAATCAGAATAGCCTGAGTGAAGGGTTAAAAATGGGGTGCTCTTGTTCCCTTTCCACTAGGAACCTCAGAAGCACGTACATCACATCATATAGGATATTTTCAATGTTACTGAATTATTTTATAGGTAATTTTACCTCTCTCACTATATGTAACTGACACTCAGTGGTGGCTTCCATTTTGTTTGCTTTCTTGGGTTAAAGTGTATGCATAGGCAAAACATTTTTTAGTTTTGCATAAAGTAAAGTATGGAAGCGTTAGAACCCCTGTCAAGTTTTTATTTCTCTGAGTCCCTGATGAGATTGTTCCTGGTGGCCATTGTTAATCAGACAGAGCTCCAAACTTTAAAAGTTGTCACCAGAGCTAGAGATGAGGCTGAATCTCTCAATGAAGATACTTATTCCGGTGACATCTGTCTAAAAAGAGAATTGTCCTCACTTTGCAGGTATTTACTCACATTTCTTGTTGCGTCACCAGGACAGGAGGTGGGCAGAGATTAACCCTTCCCTACCCTTAACGTTTGGCTATATTGTAAAACCAATTTAACTAAAGATGCAATTCAACAAAGATAAAAGCAGTGTGCAAATCTCAGTGACCTGCAGTGATCAGAATTGATCTTCCCTGACCTTGCATAAGTAAACCAAAATCTGATTGGTCGGTAATGATTATTGCACTTTTGCAGTGGTTTATTCAAGAAGCCGATATGGCTCCGGGAAGCTGGCCCCTCTGAAATTCTTTGTTCTTTCTCAGTGTTCGCAAGCTGGTGAAACCCACCCGCTTTGACAAGAAGTACCAAGTGTTTGGAGAGAAGAAAGAGGAATCGAAGTAAGTTACAGCAAATGTATCACTGTGATATGTACTGTCTGGACCTGAAATAGAGCCATGTGGCATCTTATCTTTGTATTTTTATTCTCCAGTCATTTTAAAGGCATCCTGATGTCAATTCTATGGGAGAGCAACAATAACCTGCTGTACTTGGCTGAGGTAAAATTCACATTTTTTGGGGGGGGAGTACATAGATCACTTAGTCCCAACATTCAGCATTGGGTGCTGGTAGTTATCGGTGCAGGGTCTTCAGTACAGGAGGTGACCATACACTAGAAGGGGTAAAGTAATACAGGCTGAATTGAGGTCCACTTCTGGGCAAAAAAAAAAGAAGAACCTTGCAGTGGGGCTACCTCTGCACTGCAAGGGTTAAGTGCTCATTCTTGTCTAAAAGCTGCAGCATAGCAGACTTACCTGATCCCCGTTCCCTTGGTGATCAGCAATCCCCTCTTCCTGCCCTTCTGCTGGTGGAATGTCCCTTAGCGTCCTCACATTTAATGCAGCAAATGCTATGGAACCGGATGTCCTTAGACCGACGGAGCACGGGGGGCAGGAGCGACCATCAGGTGAGTAAATCTGCTTTACTCCAACCCCTAGACTAAAACAAGCACTTAACCTTTGCTGTGCGGGGGCACTTTTTGTGTTTGCCTGGAGATGGACTTTAAGGCTAGGTACGATTAAAGTAAACCTGTGCTTTGCACATGCAGGACAAAGCAACAGATTCACTCCCTCCCCTTCAAAACACATACATTTCCGTTGCTCCTCTGCCACCTCCTTCTATCACTGGGGGGGAAAAAGGGGCTCATGTGACATCACTGCCACATGGTCATTGTCACTATCTACTCTACATCTGGAAGTATCAGGTATTTTAGTCTCTAACTGCAGCTGAATGAGGTATCAGGAGACCACAGAAAAGCTTGCTCGGGAATTTTTTTTGTGCACCAAAAAAGACTACAGAAGCTGTGCCTGTCCCAACAAAGCGTCATGTTTATAGTACATAAAGGATTATAACAGTTTTACACTAATTCGCCCTGTCTGTACTGTGCTGGCAGATTTCATTATCAGTTCTAAACTAGATTTGAAAACTGTCTGTCCTAACAAAGGGTTAAAGACTTATAAGCATTGAACCTTAATGAGAGGAAGCTCAGTCTGTCCCTCAGTTTGACCCTCTAGTTTCACATTCTCAAACGGCTCAGAGTAGCCTTGAATCTGCACAAAGGCCTACACCAAAGAAACATGTAAAAGGTAAGAAATATGTTTTTTTAAGTGACAGCAGTCAGAGGCCAAAACCCGAAAATATGTGGATATTTACAGAGTTGCTTTTTTACGCCGTTTTTGTACTTTTGTTTTTAAAAGGAATTGTCAGTCGGATTTGTACATTTTCCTCTACTGTGTATATTGACAACACGCAGCTATTATATTGTAGCAAACTGCATATTTCGGCATGTGCAGTCCCTTAGCAACCATCTGCAAATCTCCCCTACTTACTCGATGGCCACAATCGTCATTCATATTGTTATTCTACCATTAACAAGGCTAACCTAAAGAAAAATCAGTTAATGTTGTAATCACCGCATCACACTGGGAATCTGTTCTATTAGTATTCTTTGTGTTTTAGGAATTCTATAAAAAGAAGGACCGTCGTCCAGTAGGACGCCCAGACTTACTGCAGGAAACATTTGAGGACTGTGCGGACATGTTGGTGCTGAAGCTTCAGACTTATGAGAAGCAGGCCCTGGAGTATCACAACAATTGCTTGCTGGGTAAAATGGCTTTTGACTGCATTTTTAACTGTACAACAGCCTTAAGGGGAACTTGTGCTTTGATCTTGCGGGGCAATGGAACCAGTTCATTTAACTAACCCCCTTCCATTGAACTCCCTTCATTCTCCCACTTCTCTATTCAATCTCTGTGAATAAATGGAGGAAATAATGTAGACTTGGAACTTACTCGGAGCTGAGGACTCTGCTTGTAACAGCGCCAGTTGCCTCAGTAGCCAGTCGCCAAACACCAGCACTATCATATGGGAAAAGGGGTCACATGGTTTTTCATAACTTTGCTACCTCTGGGGTATGAAGTAGTGGGGAAGTAAAGGTATAAGCATCTAAGGGGGATTTCATCAAAGTGAATCCTTTACTTTTCCCTCCATGGGCAAAGCACAGATGTACTTGAATACAATTCTGAAAGCCTTCTCTCAATGGCGGACCATGCCTGTGCAGTTTGTGTTCATACAATTGCCTATTGTGTCCACCAGGTGTGTATGTGGCCGAGTGACAATGCAGGAGCTTCATTAGGAGACAGTTGTCAACCTATAACAGGAAGTGCCTGAACAAGAACCTTCATGTCAGCATCACCAGGTTTTATTTTAATGAAAGCTGCAGATTTAAAAAGATTGAAAACAACCTTTGAAACATTTTAAAGCTCATGAGAGATTTAAGAAATAAGCCTAAGATCTCATTTCACCATCTGCTGGCGGTCAGGTTTTGCATTCATAGTATACTGCGTGCATTATATAATGTATTATGAAGATTACCGTCCACTAATTTGACCCTTGCATCAGTTTACATATATTGCAACCTAATTGATTATACTCCATATTAAAGGCAAGCATTGAAGTACTCCCTAATATATGTCAATGTATCCTGTAGGGGTGTGTGCATCCTAGATTGAGACCCATTGCAACCTAATTGATCAATGCTTGCCTTTAATATGGTGGATGAACAATTAGGTTGCAATGGGTCTGAATCTAGGATGCACACACCCTTACAGGATACATTGACATATATTAGGGAGTACTTCAATGCTTGCCTTTAATATGGTGGATGAAGTACTCCCTAATATATGTCAATGTATCCTGTAGGGGGTGTGTGCATCCTAGATTGAGACCCATTGCACTACTCTGCTGTAAAATGCACTCAAATTCTTTTCCTCTCTCTCAGAGTTCCGGGAGCAGTTGGAGGAGTTTGAAAAGCTATTACGTGATGTACCAGAGCTAGTAATAGAGAGTCTAAGACGGGAACACTTGCAGGCCATACAAATGAACATAGATCAAATACAACAGCTTTTCGGAAAGGAGCTTGGTGAATGGAACCAAACAAAGGTATTTCATCTATGGCACTGTGTACCATGGCAAAACAAACAGCTAACACTTTACAGGATGACTTTTAAACAGTTTTCATGGGAAATTGCCTGAGGGGGGTGTCGGCTGCCATCTTGCCCCTTTAATTAAATGCTATTGGTCTTTAACGGTAATGTAAATGCGTTTTGTAAAAATTTCTTAATTACCGTGATCAGGACAAAAATGACAATTAAAAAAATATGTTTTTTTCAGTAAATATTGCATAACAATGTCTGGTATTCTCCTTCAAGCCAGCAGGTAGATCTTCAGGTGCCTTTCCTTACATATTTTAGTGTCGCCTTTGTAGCTAAAGTCGGTATGTCAGTGCAGTCACTTCTCCCTCTGCCACCACAAGGCTCTGTTTCAGGTTTTTAAAGAAAGAGCGCTAAGTCTGAAAGACAACTACCACTATAATATCTGCTTGTAAACTTGCAGTGCTCTGGTAATCCTTTGTCAATGATAATTGCTAGAGGTGCACCAAAATAAAATTTTAAGACAGAAAATAAAAAAGTCAGGTAAAAACTGAAAATAATTTTTTTTTCTAATCTTTTTAAAAACAAATTTCAAAAATTTTTATTTTTATTTTATTTTATCTAAACTTTTACATTTTTTAAATGTATTTTTATAAACTATTTTAATGTTTAACTTTACTGCTAGAGGCTTCAGTGAAATATCAGGGGTCTAAACAGACTCCTGATGTTTCCCTTTTACAAAAGAAAAAAATTGATGACAGAGTCCTCAATCCCTTTTTTCTGCAGCCCCAGGACTGAATGAACAGGAAGCCTCTATACTGTACTGAGTGTTTAGGTTCATTCATACATTGTGGATATTGTATGAGTTATTATGTACACAATCCTGAATGAATAGGAAGTGATGTAGACCACTTCCTATTCATTCATAACTGGTACATAGTATGAGTTACTATGTCCAATTACTGTATAAACAAACTTTCAGCAATCACTGATCGCTGAATGTTTGTACTAGCTCTCCATCCTGGATTGGCTCTCACAGGAGGCAGAGCGGGCAGTGCAGTGAGGAGAGCTCGGTCTCATTTGACAGTTTACTCCTCCCCCTCACCACCGGCTCGGCCTCCTGTGACAGCTGTCTCCACCCACACACCGCTCTCCTAATCTGTTAGGCCTTGTTCACACCAAGCGCGGAGCAGATCCAGACCAGAGCAGGTGCAGACCGGATCAAAGCTGCGTCCAATGTATTCCTATGGTATTTTGACCTCCAGTTCACATCGCAGCGTGCGGATCCAGAGCAGGTGAAAAAACTGCGGCAAGCCCTATTTTACCTGCTCTGGATCTGCTCTGGAACTGCTCTGGAACGCATCTAAAACGCAAAAACGCATGCAAGTGCCTGAAAGCCCATGTTAAACTTGAAAAAATTATTATATTTATTTTTTTACCAAAACCGGCCCTAAACGCATCAAAAACGCATCAAAAACGCGGCACAACCCACTGCACTGCGTGTGCAGAAACCTGACCGGATCTGGTCTGCATTTGGTGTGAAAAAGGCCTTACAGGAGGCTGAGCGGGGCAGTGCAGGAGGAGAGCTCAGCCTCCTGTGACACGCTCACATCGCTCTCCTCCCCACCCGCTGGGGCTCCTCGGCCACTATGTTTCGGTTCATCCGTACTAATTACATAGGTACATAGTTAGTCAGGTTGGAAAAGACACGTCCATTCAGTTCAACCCTTGCAAAACAAAGATTGCAACAGTGACAGACATCCAACAGGGATCATCTATCCATGACTAGGACAAAGTCATAACTGGAGTGTAACGCTAGTGTAATGTACGCAGGGCCGGCCTTTGGGCTGTGCGGTCGCACAGGGCGCCATAGCAACATGGGCGCCTGGCAACCGGCACAGATTCAGTCCCAAAAGGCCTTTAATAATCGCCCGCGGGCGCGGCGCCCCTCAGTGCGGGCGCTTGACAGTTTACCTGTCGGCTCAGCCAGGCAGCACAGCAGTGACAGTGTCACTGGCAGTCTATGGATGACTCATTAAGATGGCCACCACGCTGTCGCCGAGCACAGGCCAGTCCACAGGCGGATTCTGCAGGAATGACGGCGTGGGCGGCTGTCCCTGCCTTGCTAGGAGTCGGAGATCATCTTTAATGTGCACCCACGGGCGCGGCGCCCCTCTGTGCGAGCGCTGGATGGATCAGCTGTGGGCTCAGCCAGGCAGCACAGGCTGCAGTGACAGTGTCACTGGCAGTCTGTGGGTTACTCATTAAGATGGCTGCCGCTCGGCGACAGCGCGGCGGCCATCTTTAAATCTGGACAAAGTACTGGCAGGCCACAGGCGGATTCTGCCGGTAAGACGGCGTGGGAGGCTGCCCTTGCCTTGCTATGGGGAGCAGGGATGAGGAGCAGGAGCTCATATGCCATGCACACTGAGAAGACAAAGGAGGGCAAGAATCCGCAGAAGCAGCCAGCAGATGTAAAAACTTTGTTCTGCAAGTAAATTCTTTTTTTTATAAATGCAGTGTACTGCTTAATATCTGTTTTGTATTTTATTATTTAAATAGGGTGTTTCTTAAAGGAACAGTAAATACAAAAGTAAAAAAATACTTTATTGTAATTATGTTTGATATTTGATAGTAAATTTACAGGTAGCGGTATTATACCGGGTGATATAAAGTATATAGGTGGCGTTATTATACCGTGTGATTTACTTTATATGTGGCGTTATTATACCATGTGATTTGCAGTATAGGTGGCGTTATTATACCATGTGATTAGCAGTGTAGGTGGCGTTATACCATGTGATATACTGTATATATGTGGCGTTATTATACCATGTGATTTATAGTATAGGCGGCGTTATTATACCATGTGATTTACAGTATAGGTGGCGTTATACCATGTGATATACTGTATATGTGGCGATACCATGTAATTTACAGTATAGGTGGCGTTATTATACCATGTGATTTACAGTATAGGTGGCGTTATTATACCATGTTATTTACAATGTAGGTGGCGTTATACCATGTGATATACTGTATATGTGGCGATACCATGTAATTTACAGTATAGGTGGCGTTATTATACCATGTGATTTACAGTATAGGTGGCGTTATTATACCATGTGATTTACAGTATAGGTGGCGTTATTATACCATAATCATTGGACCAAGTGAGGGTGCTTACTAGTCCCAGAGGGGAGCTCTGTGTTTATAATAGCACTACTAAACAGGAGAGATTGGTGCTGTGTTTACTCAATACAGGTCCAATCCTGACTTCGCCCCCTCACAGCTGCGCCCAAGGCGAGTGCCTCACGACTGAGCAGCTGGCTACACCAAATAGAATGCCACAATGGTCTCTTCCATCTCATTTAAAATAGGAATTATCTGATATCCGAGTCAAAAACCATAATTTTTTTACTTGCACATTACGGAAATGGAGGCATGATATTCGCCATGAAAATATGAAGACCACAAATGTATATTCTGATACATTTTGCAACTGGTTTTGTTCAACTGCCATTGTTATTTACGATTAGTATGTTTAATATTTGCATTACTGATTGTACCTTACCTAGTGACATCATGGGTCCCAAAAAACTCTGGGTTCACAAAATCGAAAACGTAAGGTGCTTATGAATTTAGAGAACCAGAAGAGTGCAGGGGCTTTAAAAAAGTTCTTGGGAAGATCAGCACATAGTGTTTCCGAAGCAACTGAAGAAGAAAAACTAGATGACGTTAGCTGCAGCAGTCAAGCTGATGATGTCCATCTTGAGAAGAATGAACCTTCAACATCAAGTTCATGTCTACAAGATCTGGATTCAAGTGCTCTCTCTAACCCACTGTCTTCTAATGTTCCCCCTGACTCAGTGTCTTCTGAGACAACATCTGAAAGTCTATCAGATCCTGCTTTGTGGCCGAAATTAATTTCCAAGAATGTTGACCGTATTTTGGAATTTGGCCCTGTGCAGGTAACAAATATGGAGTTTAAAAAAGATGTTCATAATCGCCACTTCTCTGCTACATTCTATAAGCGAAAGTTAGAAAGTGGAGAAGAGCAGACGAGGCGATGGCTGGGGTACTCTCCATTTGCAAATAAAGCTTTTTGTTTTTCTTGCAAGTTATTTGACTGGTATGCAAAAAGTTCTTTGGCTTCCGGAGGGTCAGAAGACTGGAGACATATGGCAAATATTCTCAAATCTCATGAAACCTCCAGCAGTCACTTTTTAGCTCAACAGATGTGGATGGAAACACAACTGAGATTGAAGTCCAAAAGTGCAATTGATCACAATTTACAATCTCTTATGAGCCAAGAAAGAAAACATTGGAGATCAGTAATGGAGAGGCTGCTAAACATTGTTCAGTTTTTAACTGAGCGTAACTTGGCATTTAGAGGATCTTCAGATCATTTTTTTACACCCAATAATGGCAATTTTCTTGGGCTTGTGGAATTACTGGGAAAATATGACAATGTGATGGCAGAGCACTTACGCCGTGTGGCCTCAAAGGAGAGAGCAGACCACTACTGTGGAAAAACAATAATAAACCTAATGGCAAAACAGGTACTTGAGGACTTTTTGGAACGTTGTAGAAAAGCAAAATATTACTCAATTATCCTGGATTGCACCCCAGATATTAGCCACAAGGAACAGATGTCATTTACAGTTAGATTTTTGGATAACAGCACTGGGGATTTGAAAGTAAAAGAACATTTTATTGGGTTTCAAACAGTAGATGACACAACTGGAAAGGGAGTGGCTGACTTCCTCCTTCAATTTGAAAAAAAAATGGATATTGATAATTGCTGTGGACAAGGGTACGATAATGGGGCAAATATGGCAGGAAAAAACAGTGGTGTCCAGTCAAGAGACAGACTCAGTGACACATTTCCAAACATCTGGATTGCACTTCGCATACTACTGATAATCTAGAAACAACAAGGGGAGTAAGGAGTTACGCTATCAATAGATTATAATATGTGATCTATATCAGTCTCCAGGGTTTCCGTAAATTAATTCAAAAAAGAAGGTTCCCCAAACAAAGAAATCCCTATATTGGAGCTGATCAGGTAAACAGGTGACACAAAATGGTAATGATGTATAAAAAATATATTTAATGACAATTAAAGAAAAATACACATAGGATCCAATATAACAAGACATCTAAAAACAAGTAAAAAGACATCCCCTTGAAATTCCACTTATAGTAATACGAGTGATAATCTAGAGACCACCTCAGTGGTAAATAGTCACTACTATATACACATTGATGTGTTTTAAAGACTGATACAATGTATCAGAGCGTACTCACAACCTGTGTGGTTTGCGATGAGGGACAGTCCTTGTAGGGTCCCCTGTTTAAACGTGGATGGAGTCAATTCTGTGAGGTGTATCTTAGTGTGGGATTGTGACTCCAGATAGTAGTTATCCTTGTTTGTCTGGAGGCTCCGATGAGCGTGTCACTCCCTGCTCAATTGAGCTCACACTGATCAGCGGGTGTCGATCACTCCTAATCCATAAAATAATCCGGAGGTTGTTTCCAGCATGTGCGGCCGCACAGCGAAGTGAATAAAGACACACTGGGCTGAAAGGTGGATGAGGCTGAGGTTGCTCCATCCTACCATCCACCTTTCAACTCCATCCACGTTTAAACAGGGGACCCTACAAGGACTGTCCCTCATCGCAAACCACACAGGTTGTGAGTACGCTCTGATACATTGTATCCGTCTTTAAAACACATCAATGTGTATATATTAGTGACTATTTACCACTGAGGTGGTCTCTAGATTATCACTCGTATTACTATAAGTGGAATTTCAAGGGGATGTCTTTTTACTTGTTTTTAGATGTCTTGTTATATTGGATCCTATGTGTATTTTTCTTTAATTGTCATTAAATATATTTTTTATACATCATTATCATTTTTTGTCACCTGTTTACCTGATCAGCTCCAATATAGGGATTTCTTTGTTTGGGGAACCTTCTTTTTTGAATTACTACTGACAATCCCTGTTTCTGTGGCATCGGGAGAACACAGCTTTTCTAAATTAAAGCTGATTAAAACTTACCTCAGATCCTCTATGAGTGATGAACGACTAACATCGTTATCAGTGCTGTCCATTGAAAATGACGTTTTCAAAACATTGGATCTTAACAGCACCATTGATGAATTTGCAAAGGCAAAAGCACGTAAAGTTGTGTTTTGAGCTTGTGCATGTGTAATCACTTGTGTACACAGTTAAATTGTACCTATTTTTTTGCCACTTTTTAGTGATGAGGATCTGCAAGCGGTGTCTTAGTACTCATTTTGAGTTTGTGGCGTTCTAGTTTACATTTTACTTTGTTACACGTGGTGCACTTTGTTATAGTAACAATCTAGTCTAGGTTTTGTGTTCTGTTTTTTGTTTTTACTTTTCTATATGCACTTGAAAAAAAGGGTCTGCAGGGCAACCTGACACTTTCTTTTATAGACTCTATTTTAGTTTGACATTTATTGTTTACCACTTGATTGTCTACTGTTGTTTTATTTAATATGAATGATTATATTGTGCTTACAAGTTTAATACCTTTTGAATAAAAGTTGTATTTTTATCATAGCTTGTAATCTGTTTTTTGGGGACTTAACGGAATGGAAGGTTTTAAATAGAGGCGGTATTGGAGAAATGGGTGTGGCCACTGAAAGGGTGTGGTTACTGAGGGGCGTGGTTACTGAGGGGCGTGGTCACTATGGGGCGCTGTAAAGCTTTCTCGCACAGGGCGCCTAAAGGCCTAAGGCCGGCCCTGAATGTACGAATAGAATCTGAGTTACAGCCTTCATTTAAACATCCGGATTTCTTCCAGGAAGAAATAAAGAATCTGCTGCGTCCAAGCTTGGGACACCCTGATAACTGGCAAACTCTGGTGGAGATCTGCCAGCGGGAGGAGAAGAGACAGCAGGAGGAGACAGAGGGGATAGAGTGCACCGCTAAACAGTTACAGGTGAGACAATGTACTGACATTGGTAAAATAAGAAAACGTTTACTCAAAGCCAAACTTCAGGCAGATGTAAAAGACACAGTGCAATCCAGCTAATCATTAAGACTGTCTGACCCAGACTGGGAGAGGGAGGGGTAACACTGTATGCCGATCAGAGCCCTGCTACATTGCCCAATGCTGTTAATCTAACAGTGGAAGATTCCCGAAAGGAGGAGAAAGCAGAGTGATGACCTCATCAGTGTACTGCTGTTCCTTCATTGTCTCCTTACAGGATGGGGCAAGTCCCAGGCACTATTGCTGAATGCATTGTAGTTGGCAAAATACTCTCCGGGAGGTCTAACGCCAGGCTGTGCTGCTTGGCTGGGGTGTCTGGGTCACAAGACAGGTTAAAGAAAGATACACATTCTTTCACAGGTAAAACATAACAAATAACAAAAGTGTGGCTGTGTATTATAGTTGTTTACTTGGAGTTCAGCTTGAAGATCATTCCGCATGCAAAACTGGATGGTAGACCCCTTGCTTCATTAGTGCTGGCTCTGTCTGCCAACATACCACAAACCCAGATGGAATGTTGGTGGATTTTATTCATCCCAGGTAGTCAGAAAAGGCCTTGACTTTCTGTAGACAAGCTCCAGTTGCCTCTGCTGAACACCATTGGCTGTGAAGGATCTAAAATGACCAAACACATCATAAATCTATTATAGTATAGGACATGCTGCAACCCCTTTTCTGTGAGGTGTAATTCTTCTATCATAGAACATGCAGAGGGGTTTGCATTTTTGTGTCTGGCCACTTTTTTCCCTACATAACTCTTAGACCTATAACTCCACTCCCATAATGCAATGCAAGTGTTTTGGGGTTTTTTGTGTGTGAGCTTTGCTCTCATTCACCAGGGGGACAGATGCAGTGGGGTGTATTTATAAACAATTCACGGAGTCATTTGTCCTATGAAACTGCATATACATTTGTTCTGTGTGAATGGAGGCAAAAATGAATGTTATTAGCATATTTTCTTTCCAGGTCGAATGTAATGTCAGTTAAAAACTGTATTATGACCACTAGATAGAGCAGAGGAGCATAGGAAATAAATACTCATTGCCTGTGCTCCTAAGCTCTATTTAGTGACCATAATGCAGTAGACATTGTTAAAGTGATATTAAAGTCACAACCCCCCCATGCTGCTTTAAGGACTTACCTTAAATGATGCGTTAGATCCGATCATCTTCTTTCCAGTAGTTTTCAGGAGTCCCTCCAGTGCTGGTGCCGGTCTCTGATCCAGCGCTGACTGCTGTGTCTTCTGTGTCCCACGTGCACGTTCCCGACTGCGTGCATTGACGTATACTGTCTCTCTCCTATTCTCCCGGCCAAAGATCTCTAATGCGCTTGCGCTCTCCCAAGATCCTTCACGGCCACTTGAGAATCTTCAGACGGGAGCGAGCGGCGGAGACACAGGTCAGTATTTACTTATTTTGTAACTTTATTTTTTTATGTTTTTGCATATATCTGCTGCTTGCTAGAAGTAGATATATGCAAACAAAAACAAGTGTTTAATTCTACATTAAATGCAGAAAAGGGTATACAAATTTTAACTGGTTGTAATCAGTGATTTTATAGGCTTCTCATACAGAATACTGCTTTTCAGTTTCTTATTTAGGAACTTTCAATATAATGTCTGTTATGTATGATTAAAGACTGCAGGAGCTGCAAATATATATATATTTTTTATATAGTAATATGTAGATGAACTAACACCCGGCACCCATATTGTCCTCAGGACTGTGTTTTGGAGAGCATGCAGCGCTTTGTCACTTCCTTGGCATCACTCACAGAGAGCATCCTACTGCAGCTGGACGAGGTGCTGACCGTGGATGATGTCCTGCCTGCCAGTAAGTGACATTGGTACACACGGGACAGGAATGAAGAGCATAGTGTGTATGAGAGAAGGGGCCCAGATTGGTGACTTCAGCAAGAAATCATTTTTTCTGATATAGTTTTCATTTTCCTTGCAAACAAGAATGACCTTTTCCACTCAGAATAATGTGATTTGGAATATAAATGTGACATTTTAGTGTTAACAATTGATGTCTATTGGGCATTATCCCAATTTCTCCCTTTCTAGAGCATGTCCCAGTATTTTTACCTTGCTACTGTAGTGAGAAACAACTTGTATTATTGTGACATTACCAAGCTTTGAAAGTCTTTGCGTCTGACTGCAAGTCTGACATGGGAATATCCCCCAGAACTACATCTCCCTAGAGCACCTTCTTTACATACTTATTGTGGGCTGGCTCTAGGGAGCCAAGGCAGCAGCATTGTTTTGCTGGTAAAGAAGTCAATGTATGTATGTGGAGAGAGGCAGAAAGTGGTGTGGATGTTTGACTGAGTTCTGTAGTCCAGCTGGCAGGGCTGACAACGCTTCTTTGGATTTCGGTTCAGCAAAGGATTAAAACAGGAAAATGTGCACATATTGCAAAGATATATTGAATATGCTTTTTCTTATACTTACATACACATTATTCATATATCCAGTTTGTATACACTGCAATATTCAAAATGGCCATGGAGCGCACATATGAACATGCTTCTAATCCAAAATTTAAAGTGTAGTTCCATCTTTGCAGTCAAATGTAGGAAACCCCTCTATTTGTTGTAGGCTATGTGTTCTCATTCACACAGCATACAACTAAAATATTTTTTTAAGTATTTCTTACGTTTCTAGTTGTTTGGAGCAGGTTTATGCATAGGACCCTTTGGGCAGCTTAGTCTCAAGTCCTCAGCTCTTTAACTCTTTGTTAAGATGGACATTCCTGCACATCCAGTTTACAACTGATAATGAAGATCTGCCAGCACAGTATAGACAGAGTTCATTATGGTAAACATTAAAGGAGAACTATGCGGTTAGGGCTTTTCCCCATAGTTCTCCTTAGGGTAACGGGAGGACACAAACTAGCGTCCGCCCGTCACCCTAAGCTCAGTATACTGAGACGCTGCAGCTGAAGCGGATCCCGACAATTATGTCTGGATCCGCCGAGCTGCGTGACAGCTGGCTCTACCTATCTAGAGGCAGAGCCAGCTGTACCCGCCAACTCCCCCGTCCGTTCCGCCAGTCAGAGCTGGCGGATCGGAGCAAGGAGGGGGGAATCCAGCCCCTGGATTCCAGCAGAGAGCCGTGACAGGATCGAGAAGTGAGCGAACGCCGGTATGTGTTCGCTCACCTCCCGATCTACTGAGCCGACCTGTGACAGTCTCATTGTCACAGGTCGGCTAGAACAATGAGATGAGTGAAAAGCACTCTCCTCATAGTTCTCTAACTCTCCAGCCCCTTCTTAACATTACATAGCAGAGGAAAGCTAAATAAGATTTTGTTTTCGGCATGCTAAAAGGAAAGCAGCAATTTTTAAATATTCTTTTTAAGTTGTGTTATGTGCATGAGAACATGTAACAAATATATGTTAACAAATAGGTGTTACCCCCTTTTGGCTGCAGAAGCGGAAATACACTTTAAGTTATTAGATTCCCTGCTACTGGTAAGAGACACTAGGCTGTCCTTCACATAACTCCTGAGCCCTTCAATGTACTAGGTACAGTGAGCAAGAGTGCCACTATAGATACACCTTCCATGCTATGGGAAACTCATCTGTAGCGACTAGGTTGTGCTGTAACCCATGCTTAAAATTCTGACCCCCAAAATTAACCTTACACTTATAGAAATGGAAATCCCAAAGGAGAAGCTGTTGACACTGATCAGACGCAAGAAAGCTGGCCTACCCCTTAAAGATACAGAGTACCAGCCACTGATAGAGCGTGGCAGCAGGTAAGGCATTCAGTTAGTTACAATAATTACCAGTGCAGCAAAGTTTGGACATACAAAAGGAATTGTAATAGTTGATGTTGCTGTTGGGCCTCATTCACTTGGGCATGTTCCTCTGTACAGCTTGAAGTGCAAATTGTGGATGTGCCCAGAGCAGTGGGAAGAAGCGCACAGGCGGCTGATTTAACTCTATGTAGAAGCAGCTGCACACATCCCTGTGTACGGCCTCGGATGCAGACATGATGGATCCCGGTCCGTATACCGCCTGTGTTCGGCTGTCAGAACTCAGAGCTGCATAAAGGGCGGACAGCTCCAGTGTTTACATAGAGCTAAATGAGCTGCCCGCTCGCGCTTCTTCCCGCAGCTCCAGGCGCATTAACAACTGTCCCTTAACACTGTACAGAGCAACACGCCCATGTAAATGAGGCCTTAGAGATACACCAGGCTTGAAAATGAAGCCTTAAATTGCATACAGGGAACACTGATTCTCTTTGCCACCCTGGCATAATTGTAGTGCAGCATCCACTTATATGTCTCATTGATGGTTATCCCATTTCTTGCTACACCAATTCCTGGGTTTGTGTTTGTGCAGGCTGAGGAGTCATGATTCATTGTAGGCTTCATGATGTCTACTAAGAGCATAGTTGACAAATATATAAGTGTGTAACAAGAGGCTGCAGTCCCACCTAGACACACTGTGAAAATCCATTTGATTTGGCCTGTAATGGTGTATAACAAGCTCAGATAAATAAGTTAAAATGAGTGAAACATTTGACTTTAGCACAGCCACAGTATGTACTGGATAGCATTAGCAGCTCACTGACTGTCTCTTACATCTGCAAGAAAAAGGAAGAGGCTCAGTCTTGTAGGTGTAATGTTTCAGGACAGAAGGGGAAACCTGTAGAAGCTGTAGATCTAACTTAGCTCTATTGCATCTGCTTTGACCTTTTTTGCTACACCATCATTGCCAACTGCTGTGACATGGGGTAGCCACCCTTCTCTCTTAGAACAGAGAAATAGCTATCTGTGTGAAAGCTCTGTCTTGTAATATAGAAGTGGGTGTTACAGATCATGACATTCTTGTCTGTCGGAATAAACTGTAATCCGTATACTCTATGGCTTGTTTCTTAGGGTCTGGCCAGGAATTACTCTCAAGAACTCTGCAGACATAACAGATGGCACGTCCACTGCATCTGTAACCACCGCCAAGACCACGCTGAGCCACGTGTCCACAGTAGAAGCCAGGGACTCTGCCTACCTGGTTAGTGTTTATGTTGAAAATGGAACTTCAGCCAAAACCTTTCTATAACTCATGAAAAGAGTAGGGAAGTATGTAGACAAGTTAGGTGTGGAGGTCAAGCTCTGCATACACTTGGTTTCCAATAGGAAACTGACTAGTGTTCTTATGGAAACTTATAGGAGGTGCCTAACTGTTTAGTAGACCCCAGTGGATCCAACATGCTCATGCCTCGCTTTCACCTGAATGTTTTAGGCTCCCATATTGGAGGGGTGCTTATGGGCAACTCTGGTGTTTCATTTTAATCCGTCTACTTCTGTATTCTACTCTCTCCTCACTTCTCTATCTTTTGACTACAGAGTCCCCATCATGAACTGTGCCCCTATTTTCTACTTGCCACTTTCTCCATCCACCCCTCTTTGCCAGGAGTTGCTTGTTGCATTGCTTGGACATAGTTATTTAATAAGACAGCCTTAAACAATGTCTCTTATAATCTGTCATATAGTTTTTGGTCCAACTATATGTAATTTTGTCCCATGAGGACAATGAGGTATTGCAAGATTCTCACAGCTACAGACATGACTCCAGGAGAGAGATGCATCATGGGATTTGTAGTTTCACCACAGCTGGAGGGCCGGAGTTTGGCCACCCCTGCCTTACACTAAAACCTTTATAATAACAAATTAAGAATAATTGTGCTTATCCTACCCTAAATTTTCCTCCCTCCTTTACAGTATGGTTTCCACATGACCGTTGCAATCTAGATGTATTTTGTTTGAAACAGATTTCTAATGGCATCATTTTTTTATTTTTTTGTATTCCTGCTCTTCAGAAATCCCTCCAAGACACAAAGTTGGCATTGACGAGCATAGTGGAGGAGCAGAAGCAACAACAATTGGCGGCGCAGCGCTGGAAGCAGTGGTGGAATCAGTCCATACTCAAAATAAAGGAACTGTATTTATGAAACCATACTGACTTATATTCTGCAGCCTTGAGTGGACACATACCATCTCGTATATAAAAGTTCCTGTGCTGTCAGCCTGCCAAAACTGATCCTTGATTTTTCCCTACGAGCAACACATTTTTTCTCTGTCCCTTTATATGCATGGTAAACTTTTAGATGATTTTATCGTTGGAGACTGTCGATTTGACTATGATCAGGGTATCTTCTGCTATATCTTCCCTCTCAATATATATAATGCTTTACGCACTTTAAAAGGGATGTATTGCCATTTTGTATATTATTTTTTTTTAAATATAAATTAGCTATTGCATAGGAATACAGAAGGCAGGATTATGGGCTCCACGCATTACTTGTCTATTCTTAGCTGCCCCCTTGAAAAAAAAAAAGAATTGTTTTAGAGAGCTTATTAGCTCAAATCAGCTGAATGAGTCAGAGGGGTAAAGCATGCCCCTGTCTTTCCTTCAAAGTGGGCTGTTGAAGTTTCAATTAAAGAGAGAGTCTGAAATGAAGCAGTTTCTTCTGTACTTGCTTCTCTAAATGTTGTTTTTCATGGATGAATGTATTAAATGTTTGTAAACAAATGATAACAACACAGATATAAAACATCAGTTGAAAAAATAAATACATTTAACATATAAAAAAATGAACCCAAACCCATATGGTGTCCCTCATGCTTTCCATGGCAGAGACAACAGTACTAAGCCTACTAACAGAACTTTTTTTTAAAGAGGACCTTTACCTATATCTTTAAAAACAACAACAATGGCACCTTTAGAAATGTTTAGTAGTGACAATCTACAACTTGCCGGCTTTTTATTTTTTGCATATCTTATTTGAATCTTCCTCCCCATTCTTCTCACAGTGGCCATTATTACTAAGGGCAGATTAATATACCTGCCTTTACTTTCTGGAACTCTGGCACATGTGACCATGTACATCATCTCAGGGGAGGAAAATGGCTTTCCCTGAGATCTCATGAGATTACGGATGAGATTTCCCAGCAATGCTCTGCTGATGTAATCTTCCCAAGCTGCAATGCTTGGGCACCATTACATAGTTTGTGCCAAAGTAAATAAAATTTAAAAATGTTTGTTTAGCTAATGAATGTAAGCAGAGCTGTATGCTGATGTGATTTTTTTAGTCAACGGGGGTATAGGTCCCCTTTAAGATCAATGGTAGTAGGGAGGTCACCAAAGGGTCCCATCAACATTTTGCTATAGAACTCCAAAATCTGTAGTCACACCCCTGACGTGACCTGGAACAGTATGGAAAGACGCGTTGATGGACCCCTAATCTGGCTCTATGTTATGAGACTGGTTGTGCAGGAAATATTCGTGAATTCCATCCCTCACTCTGCTCTGGTTCCAAATGAGGCAGTCAAGGACATTGATCACACATTGTGCTACTGCATGGCACATTGGGCAAACTTTTATAGGGGCTTTAGGGAGCACAAATCTAAAAGCATTGCATTTTAAAGGGATGGAAATGGCAGTGATCTCTAGCAGTCTTATGTCACATATCCCCAATCTCTGATTACCAGTTGAAAATGCAATAAGGATAAACTTTACTTTTAAAATCATCAAGCAGTATATGATTTATTTCATGTCCATCAAAACTATTGCTCACACACAGTAACTAGATTTTGCAACAAGAAGTGCATATTTCTATTGACTGTCCACCCACATCATGCAGAACCTGGGTCGGCCAGAGCTCCATAATCACAGCTTTATGTAAAGATGGAATTGGTAAATGGACTGAGTGGGTTTCAGTATGTATGACTAGGGGCCAATTTGTAATGAAGAGCATATATCACTATCTACTCTTTGTTATATTTCTCCAAGCACACTGCAGTCTACATTTAGCAGCCTATTTATAATATGCAAGCTATGAGGTGGAGTTTGCAATGCCCATAGAGTTCTCTCTGCTTAGTGCAGCAGAAAGAGCTCCGTGATCGGAAGCGAGCCACTCATATGACTTTAACCTCTTGCCGTCCGCCCGTTAAGAAAAAACGGACGGACGGCAGACTCGCATCCGCGGGTTGCCGTCGTCAGACGGCATTTTTTTCCTGCTAGCGCGCGCACGGGCAGGAAAGACCCGCTCGTTACTACAGCCGTTAACGGCTGTTTCACATACAACCGATCAGCGGCTCTATAGCCGCCGATCGTTTGTATGGCGTGCATTTCGGAGCGCCCCCCCAATCTCGAGTGCCGCCATCTCCCCCCTCAGGTCACATGACTAGACTCTCCTCCCCTCTTTTTTTATTGACTTTCATTCAGTTCTATTGCCTTTCAATGTCTTCAGACTCCTGAAGTACCGCTGGGGGCTTTTTAAATGTGCAGAGTCTTTTAAATATTTCTAAAAGCATAAGCATGGTGGCAGTATGGCTATATTGCTGGTTTTTAAATGGACCCGTTAGTGAAGATCTGCCTGCATAAGTCATGTTCAAGTGGAGTAATTGGATTTCTCCACTATATTTTCCACAGTAAGACACATTGGAGAAATTCATAAAAACTGGAGCATTTGTCCATGGCAACCAATCAGCTTCTCTCTTTATTTTCAAAGCTTAACTGAACAAACTGAAGAGAGAAGCTGATTGGTTGCCAAAAGAAAATTGTCTGCTCTAGTTTTCAAGAATACCCCACCATGATTCATTTAGGCTTTTCTTGCTCAACTTTAATGCAAATGTTTACAAAATATACAGAAAGCAAGCACTGATATGTGTTAAAATGCACATATGCAAAAACTGAAGGTAACCCTTTCCTATCTCCTTCCCTTGTAACATATTGTTTTCTCCAACACTACAAGCGCTCTCTGACTTCTTAACAGTACAAAGAGCAGTGGTGTGCAGAAGTGGACCTTTATGTCAAGACCAAATAGTACTGATACACAAAGGTTTAACAAGTTGTCTATCTAAATCTTTGTGTATCAGTACTGCTTGGACCTAGAAGAAGGGGGTAGACCCTCAAAAGCTTGTCCTTAAAAATGACCTGTTAGTGCAAATAACAAAAAGCATCGCCAATAGTTCTCAGCCATGTTGTTGCAAATGCACCAAATGGAAACCACGTTTTTTTAGATCACGTATCACTATACTTACTAGATGACTATGCCCGCAATGGCAAGCTAGTTAGCCAAAAAGATTACAACTGGAGGCTGAATATTAGCTGCTTATAGGATGTTTTGGTGAAATAAAAACAGTCACTGAGTACTTTTATATATTAAATCAGGGCTTAGTCTCAACAAACAGTTACAATTTTGGAATCTTTGAAAGCAGTGGAGCCTTTTTGGGTCTAGATAACTCATTCCCTGCCACAATCTGTATATCTAAGGCCTCACAGCCCAATGCTGGGAGTAAGTTTATGTACATTCAATTATTTCAGCTGCAGTACTCCGTGGAGATCGCTCTGATCTTCAGGGGGGTTACCAATCAAGTTCTGGGCTTTGTTTACCATTTCACTGCCACTGCCAAAGCTGTGTCATGGCGGTAAAGTCAAAGGATAATGTTTTACCTTGTATAGCTACAGTCCCCATGCTGGTTCTCTTCCATTTGTCCAGGCCTGTCCTTTAGGAAACCCTGCTGAATCCATTTGGAGCTTCACTGTTGGCCGTGGTGCTAGCTAGCCCCAGGGAGTAATCTAGCAGATCAGCTGCTGTGTAGGCACTTTGCTCTTGTTGGGTGCATGTATGTGCAAGACTTTTATCATGTTTTACTGTGGATAATACCATAGGTCAGCGTGCCTTGTTTGTTCTTTTGTGTTTTTTAGCTATTCATGTTCTCTACATGTCATTGGGCAGCAAAACCTATATCATTTACTGGCTATCTCCACACTATATATGAATTGCCGGACTCCTCCAGCTGTTTGACGTTTTAGTTTAGATAAACTTTTTTTATGCAATACTTTATTGATATGGCAAATACAGCAATTATCTAAAGCTCATTTTGAGCTGCGTGAATGATGCAACAATTACTCTGTAGTAATTATAGACTCATTTATTGATTATTGCAGATTTAACATTATATTCAAAAATATCAACCAGACTAAAAGAATATATGGATATACTGGTAGGTCATTATCAAGCAGGCTTCAAAGCAAACAGAGGTACACGTGATAATGCTATGGCAGTAAAATGTTTCATTGATCTGGCTTAAAAAAAAGAAGCTATAGCTGGTAGAAGTTAGTTACGTTCTGAAATCTTGAGGACTATTCTTGCAGCTGATTCAAGCCGCTTCGTAAGTTCTTATAAGTGTCAGGAAAATACTCCAGCATTTATAGAAGCATTACAGAATAAGTCCAGTTAAATGTGTCCAATTTACTTCTAGCTTTACCATGACCTAAATATATGAAAACCTTTACAAATATAAGATAGAAGCACAGTACACAGCTGTATAAGAAGATTCTGGCCCACACCAAGCTATGCTCAGTATAATTGGGGCACTTAATCACCCACTGTATATCGGGTTCACTAAATCCTATGGATCCACTGTTGCGTGGGAGCACCTCATTCCTGTTCAGATTATTGCTTATATATAAATGATCAAGAAACTCTACCTAGGAATAATTAAAGCCCAACAATAGCTACAACTTTTTTTCCTTTTAAAGTTTTGATAGATTTGATAGATAAAGTTTTCTGCAAATGTGGTTGGTGTAGTTAACCCAGAAATCTGCCTAAAGCAGTATCTTGTATTGGTATTAGAGCTTATTTTTAGTTTAAATGTTGTCTGTCTATGTCACCTATGGAAATAATTCCCCCCATGTTGTGTCCTGTTAACACTGTATGTCAGGGTGTGACCAGGACATGACGTGAGGGGAAATCTCCCCAATGGGGACTAAATTAAAAAGCCAACAGAGGTTCCATCTCTTTTGGCTGGATGGCTAGATTGGGAAGATTAAGGCTTTAATGATTTCCAGACAAATGCCCAACTATTAGTTAGATAACAGATCTTGAGAGCATGGTTTATATAAAGGGCTGGCATATACCCAAGACTTGCATTGGAGTTTAGGTTGAACCAAAACAAGCCCTTTACTGT